AAGTATCAGTTAGAATGGAGATGGACTTGGAGGAGTGCCACAAAGACATATCTATTGATCGTGAAGAAAAGGGATGCAGATGCGAGGCGACGAATAGTAGGGCCATGGGCATGGCAGCGCCATGGTACCGTAGAGGCGGGACTTCTGTGAAAGTCATTGATCCCTTGCTCTCATGGAGGGAGAGCGCTTGGTCGTGAAAGGGACCGAGAAGGTGGAGCATGCAGAGGCAAACTCCAGGTACCGAGACAAGGCTGAAGGGCAGAGGCCAAGGAACTTCGTAAGACCGGTGTCAACGAGCTTCTCACCAAGATAGCCGAAAGTGAAGGGCTTCGGGTAATGCAAGAGTGCACGACCAAGGAACAAAGCAGGCAGTACGCGGTACTATACCTTTGTTACTCAATGGAGTAGACGGCAGGGTTGATAGAGAAGATAGTACAATCCCAGAGGCGACCAAATCTATTAGAGAATTACTCCAAGTTGGGGTGAAAACTTCCTGCATTCTAGAAGTTCGATGGCATTGAGAAGGTGAATCACAGTAACTAACTCAATGCAAGGAGTGCAAACACTTCAAGTGCTTCAGAAGTATGAGCAAAGAGCAGGCGAAGGGCAGTAACCAGCTCGATGCATGGAGGACAACCTTGAGGAGGCGAGCGAAGTCAAGTAACCATTGCCTTCTCAACCATTAAGAGAATGGGCGAAACCGAGTACCCCAATTCTCTTATTTATCCAATAGAGGAGCTTTGCACAAGTTCAAAGACCCTTCGAAGATAATAGAAGACAATAGTTGTCAAATCCTCACTAATGGTGATCAGTGCTACTGAGAGTAGATTGTCCGCTTCATTTCCCAACGAAATGCCAATCAAAAGCGAAAGTGATGCGAATCTACTTGGAAGTGACAACTAAGTGAAAGAAGAGTCAATGGGCAAATTTTGTGAAGGAAAGACCCAAAACTTTAAAAGTTTACGAGGTGATGCTCATTAAAGCTCCAACAAGCATCCACCCAGTTCAAGCAGCATGGGGCATTTGAGAGACTGGTGCAGAGTAAGGATGGTATTTTCCTTCATCTGGAGGATCCGCAGGAACCAACAAGGATCAACACAACTCAACCAACCCCACACTAGAGTCAGAGTCATTGGCGAGTTGAAGCAGCATGGCGGAACAAAGGTTCGACTACTCAAAAACAGCAGCGGAGAGCAGTTGGGAGCCAGGAGGCGCATTGCAACTGGAGCAGAAGATTAAAGACTCAGCAAAGGCAAGGAGTTGCAGTGTCGGCAAAGGCTTCGACGAGGACGTCAAAAGAATAAGTGGGGGAGAATGTCACGGACAAACTTCTAAACATGATGTTTGATGTAATGCTTATGTATGTCCGTGTCTTTTGGTATGTTCATGCTTTGCACAGCATGTAGAGGGACGGCCGAAGGCTTAATAGTCCAATTGTAGTTGGGTTGGTGGCCGCTTTAGACTTGTAAATAAAGGTTATGTCATGTGGACACTTGTGAGAGATTTTCGGTCTATAGTGGACCATTTTGACCCTTTGTTGTGTAACTGTTCAGAGCTTATAAAGTCTGTTTGTAATTTGCATTGTCTATGAAGTGTTTTCGGAAATGTTTGCTTGTGGATCCCGAGTGAGGCGTTTTCTCTAACCCGTTTTCTTTTTTGTGGGTCTTAAGGGACCATGGGAGGCTTCGGGGAGGCTGACCTTTGCAGATGAACACGTAAGGGTGCCGCACGACTTAGGCAAAACCAACTAAGTCCGTGACAGGACGTATCCTTCTCATGTCAAAGAAAAAGTCTCAATGCTCCATGACACCGAGTTTCAGTCGCCTTGGGATGGCCACGAACATTCCATAGTCTGTATACAAGCCCTTGCATGAGTACCAAATTCTTCGAGTTAGCAATTCCCCTCACCTCTGTGAGCTTTGCATAACTCTTTTGATTGATGAACAACCCATTCCACTTTGCACGGTCTCATCCTTTACCAAGCACCTCGCTTGCCTTGAGCACCATCAAGTATGGTTGCCAACGTCGAGTCGTAACTCGAACTTGTCATCCCAACCTTTGTGCGCTACGTATTATTCCTAGCTTGCTTGTCCTTGTGGTGCCTTTTGCGTGAAGGGTGGGTCATTCCTCTGAATGTCAATCTCAGATGCCCGCTCCTTTGAGCGACTTCTTTTCCTTACATCTCTATGCCTGTTTCCCCCAAACGGTCACGCGTGCTGGCTACCATCAACGTGGCCCCATTAGGTCTCCCACGTTTGCATGCCAAGTGTTTTTATGTGTGCTTGTCCTGCTCTGATACCATATGTCACGTACTTAGCTAGTTTTGCGTAAGTCGTGCAGCACCATTGTGTGTCCGTCCGCAAAGGTTAGCCTCCTCGAAATCTCCTATAGTCTCATAGGACTTACAAAAAAGAAAACGAGTTAGAGAAAGCATCTCACTTAGCATCCACAAGCAATCATTTCAGCAAACACTTCATAGCCAATGCAAATTACAAGCAGACTTCACAAGCTCTGAACGGTCGCATAAAAAAGGGTCCAAAATGGTTCACTACAGATCGAAATACCCACAAGTGCCCACATAACACAACCTTTGTTTGTAAACCTAAGATGACCACTAAAACCAAAGAAAATGGAGCCTTTTACATATTGTGCAAAGCATGAACAAAACCGAAAGACACGGACATACATGATTATTACTTCAAACACCTCATTTACAGTTTTGTCCGTGACAGTTCTATTGCTCGGAGAAGTATGACCAACTATCACCATACTGTTGTTAGTCATAAGATTGTCTATTATACGACGGGTGTGAATACGATGAACTTTGCTCTGTGTATATGTCGTATAGGCTCTGTTGCATCTACTCAAAATCATCCACTGCCTTTTCCCTCCGTGTATAAACTTGATTAGTACCTTGTCGAGTTAAATGATCTAAATCTTGGATGTCATGTGTAAAATACTGCTACTCTGTCTATACACTACTCTCAAATTGTATAGACGGGTCCATCGACTCCCCGGCATCGTTGCCATCATTGGTCAAGGCACTACTGTCCACGTCTCTACCATGTCTCTGGACTGAGTGGGTTGTCAAATATGATTGCGAAGGTGTCTCGTCGCCCAACTTGATTCTTTCCAATGGTATAGCTGATGTTACTACCTTTGCCTTTGCCTTTGCCTTTGTATGCTAGCAGATGACTATAACGGTTGGGTGTCTCTAGTTCCTCTTGATTAGAGTGTTTTTTCCTCTTAATCCTTCCAAATTAGCTTCCCAAATCTGATCTAATCCATAAATCATAACTTTATTGAGTTTAAGAGAATGAAAATGTGAGAATGAGAGAGAGATGTGAGTGAGAAAGAGTTTGAGAGAGTGAAATGAGTTGAAAGAGGGGAGAGGAAAGGGTTTAAAAACCCTTTCCTAGGGTTCAAATGGTCAATTTGACCGTTTGAAATAGGAAAATCTCAGCCCTTGATCGGTAACATCGAAATCCGACTATTATCGATCAATAGAGGTTAGTAACGATCGGATTTCGACCGTTAGCACCTGTACAGACCTTATATCGCTCGATATGGGGTCATATAATAGTATTGTCCTGTAGAGGACGATCCGCGTTCCAATCCCCTATCGGATTAGTACATACCGCCTATACCCAGGCGGTATAGGTCGACACGACGAACCTTGAAATAAACGGTTAACTAACCAAATAATTTATCCTTGGTTGACTACTAATGTCAACTTTGATTGGTTGAGATGTTGGGTACCATATCTTGAGCTCAACTCTAGAGAAAGCTCAACATAATGAATGAAATTATTTATCAAACCAACTAAGGTTACTGCCTTGATGGAGTTGAGACTTTGATTTTCTTTTTTATAACACTTTTCTAAACAGAAGAATTGGATAATCTTGATACATGTTTTGGATTAATTATCTATTGATAAAATTTTCCCCTTGCGAACAGATATTATTTGGACTTGGGAGTAATCTTCAATTGGAGTACAGTTGACTTCTTAGTATCTCCAGAGGAAAGCATCATTGTCTTACAATTTTTCTTGAACCATGAAAGAAAGGAGTTTAAGAAAAGGTAATTCTGTTAGTCCATGTAGTCAATAGTCAGATGATGAATGCCCATGTTCAAAGATGGAAGTATTGGTAATATATCCTTTTGACAGAATAATCCTAGTAAGATAAAGCGTTGATCAAGCCTTTTTAATTACTTTATCAGTGGCCTAGTAAGGTTAGCTTTATTTCCAAGGGAGATTGGGCTCAACAATTGCCTTTGTTCTTGCTCATCCATCATTTTTGACAACAATGTATTTATATTTTACAGATGGTTAGCACTATAAATCTCAGCAGCTCCAATTTCGTTTAGACCATGAAGTGTTGTAGAAGAATAAACAATCTTTGAGGGATGATGATAATATGGTAATCATTCATATCCATCAATGTCCTTCTTATGTGAATATTGATTAAAATTACTCTAGCAAGTGGAGGTTTTTGGATCATACTCCAATAGTAGCTCATCAATTCCCATCCTTTCTATAATTTGCAGGTTCAGAGCCCTGATTTATTTCGATCAAAATGTTCAGAAGCCTCTCCACCTTTGCCTCAAACTCGATTTTGTAAGGAGGCACTAGCTACCTTAAGTACTGTGATCCTTGCCTTTCTTCGATACTGCTAATGATATGAATTTGTTTCATGCAATTAATGCTTTGAGCTTAGTTTATAAGTAGGTTGGGATTTCAGCCAAACTGAAGGGCCAGGTTTGCCAGCATGATCCCTCACCATATCAGTGAATACTACCCGCAACCATGCAGTGTACTACTTTCAAGCTGATTATGCTGCTTGTTCCCCAAATTTCATGAAATATCCCTCAACCGGCATCCCAACCTAAATCAGACTGTCTGATCCCCTCCAATTGAACATCATCAACGTCAGTGGAAAACATTGCTTTGGAGTCGATCAACGTACCACCTCAACCTCATACCAACTTATCATCACAAGCTGCGGTAGATACAATGAGAGTCATTTGATCTATATTCATTCTTTCTCTTATGTAAATTAATCTGACTTCTCATAATGAGTTGATAATCTACCTGCGGATATTTGACTTATCATAATTTGACCTTTTTCCAGTGGTTGGATCTGTTGGCTGGTTTTGTTGTTTTTATTGGTCTGTTGAAAGAGTTTGAATGATGATGAGGTACGATGAGTATTGATAGGGGTAAAAACAAATTGGACGTAACACACCGGATTTGACGTAATACACCCCGACGTCAACCACCCTTGGACGGCACATTGCCCCGGGGGCGAGCATTAACACCAACATAATATGCACCCTCGCTCACCGTACCCAGACGACCTCATCGTCTGACCCCACACGACCGGACGAGGTAGGGGAAGGTGTCAACCAAGGCTCGCCATACCCTGCGGCGGCTCGGCCTTCCACGCAACGACCACGACGACGACAGACGCAATCGGGTGTACGGCCCTGCCCCGATAGGATGGCGCATCAGGTAACATCGAACTTACCTATAAATACCCTCGGGCTCCAAGCGAGCAGGGTAAGCACACAGAAGCACGACTTCACCCAAAAACTCCTCTCTCAATCACTGACTTGATCGTCGGAGGGGTCGGGCCGAACCGCCGACCCGACCTGTGTGTAGGTACTCGACCGAAGCCGACCCAATCCGGCGTCACGAAGCATTCCAACCAGATCCCTCGCAATCGGTCGTCACAAGATCCCGAGGGGAGTCACGCCTGATCCCAGTCGTTCGGACCCCTGAACCAACCGCGTCGACCCCAAGGTCACGGCTAAAAAAGTTACTTACCATAACAGATTGGCGCTAGGAGGGCCTCCGAATGTCAAGCGATCAGTGAATCCACTTTGGCGAGCCCTCAGCCGTCGGGCTCCCCACCCCGGGGGAACACCCCCCGCACGACGAAACCTGTGACGAACGCCCCGTAGCGGCGTCAGAACGTTACTGGCAATTGTTCAATGACCCAGGCTTGTCACCTCCCAACGGCGCACCCACCGGCCCATCACCGGTGTCTCCCGAGGCCTTTCACGACCTCGCTCATCAAGTCCGAGTCCTGACGAGCATGGTGCAGACCATCATCCCGATCGTCTCCCAGCGGACTCCTTCGCATACGGCTCGGCCTTCGCAGCAACAGGAAACCCTCGTCCGCACTCACGTACCCCTTCCCGAGCTGCCTGGCTCGCCTCAGAACCCGATAACTCGGCCCGGGAGCCGGGAGGCAGAAGACACGGCGAGCCGCCCCGAGCGCGAGGCTCCGTCTGCCGACTCTACAAATGCAATACGAGCTCAATTGCGCCTCGTCAGTCAAAGACTCGACGAAGTATAACAGGAAGTCCGTAAGTCGAAAGGAGAGCTCGGGGTAGACGGACAGCAAGGATCCTCGTTCACCCCCGAGATCCAAGATCAGGCGATCCCGTCACACTTCCGCCTCCCCTCGCTGGACGCGTATGACGGCGCCGCTGACCCAGCGGACCATGTGGCCGCTTTTCGCGCTCAGATGGCGCTATACGGGACTTCTGACGCCTTGATGTGCAGGGCGTTCCCAACAACCCTGCGGGGGCCAGCCCGCGCGTGGTACAACAGTCTGAAGGCCGGGACCGTCGCCTCCTTCGACCAACTCGCCAAAGATTTCGAGCTTAACTTCCTGGCTTACGCTCGACCAAAGCCGTCCGTGGCATTACTCCTTGGACTCAACCAAAGGGAGGACGAGCCCCTCTCTCATTTTGTGAACCGCTTTACGACGCAAATTTGTGGGCTGTCAGATGCTCACCCCTCTCTGTTGATGCTGTTAGGATCGAGAGCACTAAGAGGGGGGGGGGGTGAATTAGTGCAGCGGAAATCTTACAGCGATTAAAACCAAAAGCTGCGTTTGTTCAATAAAAACTATTATGATGCAAAAGCTAATTCTCAGTTTGTATCTAAGTGCAATTTGCGTCTAAGCGCAGATTGCGTCTAAGTGCAGTTTGCGTCTAAGCGCAGATTACGTCTAAGCGCAGTTTGCGTCTAAACACAGTTTGCGTCTAAACGCAGATTTACGTCTAAACGCAGTTTTACGTCTAAACGCAGATTTACGTCTAAACGCAGTTTTACGTCTAAACGCAGATTTACGTCTAAACTCAGTATTTACGTACTAA